TTACCATCTGGAAACCATTTTTACCCAATCTTTTTATATTCTTAGTTACAGTGACCTTGATCCCAAAAATCGATAGGCTTCTTCCCATTCCCTATATCTTTCATCTGTATAAGTTTCATTCCAGTCGAGCAAGGGATGCATATATTACCATCTGAAAGCAATTAGTTTTGAACACGCAGATGGATGGACAGAGCAATTACTATAAACTCTCTAAAATTTTCAGGGAGCATAAAAAGACATAATGGTTCTTTAAAGCCAAACGAAAGATTTGACTGACAATTTTTAAACTAATAAAAGAACAGAGTTTCAATGTCCCCTGTGTTGCACATATTTTATCTGTCCAAGGGCAATAACTTTAAGAAAACTTTTTATTTTTCTTCTTTAATTTTTTTTATAAATATCTTACGAGTTGCACGGGGACAAAAATATTATAAAATGTGTCTGCTTTTTAACTGTTATCAAACACTGTTGTACATTACCTTCATGTATATGTCCAGATATATGATACAGTGGTTTTACTCTTTTCTGTATGGTATTGAGTAATTCTACACAGCCAGCTCTACTGCCATCAAAGGTTGAATCACCATACCCTGAAACATACCACTTTATAATAACAAGGTCATGCAGCAGACATGAAGATAACATAACAGGTTTATTTAATAAAATATAAATGGGATTTTATTATTTGTTTTGTAATGTTATAAAGTTTCCCCTTGAACATGTGTTGCATTGTCTTACTAATAGTCATAAAGGGATTCATTTAGTTTTCATTTAGCTTATAGCATTAAGTCCTAGCCTAACAAATCTATCTTACCAACAGGTGGACCATGTGTTATAAGTATGTCTGTTTTCTCTGGAATCCAGTTCCATTTCTTCAACATTTCTTCACCTCTTTCTAAATTAAAACCCCAGTCACCAAACCATGGCTGCCTACAATAAAAAAGGTAAGATTTTCCATAAGAAATATATAAACAATATTCCCAACATCTTAACCATGAGACCATATACAATATACATGTATACAAATGTATTTTATTCTTGCCTAGTCTGACCTCAGTCAAATATATTCTATAGTTTAAAAGCATTTGCATCGTGTACAAACATTTTTAAGACAGCAAGGCCTGGTCTAACTGCAAATTCAACACAAGCCTAGCTAGTAATTAGGGCAGAACTTTCTGCTAGATGTGGGTAATGTTAAGGCAATCTTCTACAAGTTTTGCTCAAAACACAAAAAAGGGTAAACATTGTAATTTAAGGGCATCAACTCCTATAAGAAGATAAGTGACAAATTCATCTGCATCTATGCTGACCTATTTGCAGATCTTATCTTGCTGATCATTTTTATTTTTAAAGTGTCTATTTACATGTATCTATTATAGTTTTCAAGATAAAAGGCAATAAAATGCTTTGCTGGGCGCAGCTTGATACGACCGCAGAGGTCGAACCCTGAACAGTTGGGGCAAGTATGGACACAACATTCAAGCTTGATACAGCTCTGAATTTGGATTGTGATTAAATATTTGACACAGCATAGGTTCTGACACAGAAAGAATGTGGTCTAAGAACTTCAATTTTTTTAATTTACCTATTATGGTCCAATGTCCAAAATCAAAATACATGGTTAGATTCAGAAAATCAAAGAACCCCATATATTCAATTTTTGTTGAAATCAAACAAAGTTTAATTTTGGACCCCAACTTGAACAAACTTGAAAACTGGTCCCATAATCAAAAATCTAAACACATGTTTAGATTCAGCATATCAAAGTACCCCAAGAATTCAATTTTTGTTAAAATCAAACTAAGTTTAATTTTGGACCCTTTGGACCTTAATGTAGACCAATTTAAAAAACGGGACCCAAAATTAAAAATCTAAAAACACGGTTAGATTTGGCATATCAAAGAACCCCAATAATTCAATTTTTGATGAAATCAAACAAAGTTTAATTTTGGACCCTTTTGACCTCAATATGAACCAATTTGATAGCGGGCCCACAAAATAAAAAATCTAAATACATGGTAAGATTCAGCATATCAAAGAACCCCATATATTCAATTTTTATTGAAATCAAACAAAGTTTAATTTTGGACCCCAATTTGGACCAACTTGAAAACGGGGCCAAAAATCTAAAATCTAAATACATGTTTAGATTCAGCATATCAAAGAACCCCATATATTCAATTTTTGTTGAAATCAAACAAAGTTTAATTTTGGACCCCAACTTGGACCAACTTGAAAACTGGTCCCATAATAAAAAATCTAAACACATGTTTAGATTCAGCATATCAAAGAACCCCAAAAATTCAATTTTTGTTAAAATCAAACTAAGTTTAATTTTGGACCCTTTGGACCTTAATGTAGACCAATTTAAAAAACGGGACCCAAAATTAAAAATCTAAATACACGGTTAGATTTGGCATATCAAAGAACCCCAATAATTCAATTTTTGATGAAATCAAACAAAGTTTAATTTTGGACCCTTTTGACCTCAATATGAACCAATTTGATAGCGGGCCCACAAATAAAAAATCTAAATACATGGTAAGATTCAGCATATCAAAGAACTCCATATATTCAATTTTTGTTGAAATCAAACAAAGTTTAATTTTGGACCCCAATTTGGACCAACTTGAAAACTGGGCCAAAAATCTAAAATCTAAATACATGTTTAGATTCAGCATATCAAAGAACCCCATATATTCAATTTTTGTTGAAATCAAACAAAGTTTAATTTTGGACCCCAACTTGGACCAACTTGAAAACTGGGCCCATAATCAAAAATCTAAACACATGTTTAGATTCAGCATATCAAAGAACCCCAAGAATTCAATTTTTGTTAAAATCAAACTTAGTTTAATTTTGGACCCTTTGGACCTTAATGTAGACCAATTTAAAAACAGGACCCAAAATTAAAAATCTAAATACACGGTTAGATTTGGCATATCAAAGAACCCCAATAATTCAATTTTTGATGAAATCAAACAAAGTTTAATTTTGGACCCTTTTGACCTCAATATGAACCAATTTGATAGCGGGTCCACAAATAAAAAATCTAAATACATGGTTAGATTCAGCATATCAAAGAACCCCAAGAATTCAATTTTTGATGAAATCAAACAAAGTTTAATTTTGGACCCTTTTGACCTCAATGTGGACAAAGTTGATAACGGGGCCCAAAAATCAAAAATCTAAATACATGGTTAGATTCAGCATATCAAAGAACCCCATATATTCAATTTTTGTTGAAATCAAACAAAGTTTAATTTTGGACCCCGATTTGGACCAACTTGAAAACTGGGCCCATAATCAAAAATCTAAATACATGTTTAGATTCAGCATATCAAAGTACCCTAAAAATTCAATTTTTGTTAAAATCAAACTAAGTTAAATTTTGGACCCTTTTGACCTTAATGTAGACCAATTTGAAAACGGAACCAAAAATTAAGAATCTAAATACACGGTTAGATTCGGCATATCAAAGAACCCCAATAATTCAATTTTTGATGAAATCAAACAAAGTTAAATTTTGGACCCTTTGGACCTCAATGTGGACCAATTTGAAAACGGGGCCCAAAATCCAAAAACTTAATACACGGTTAGATTCAGCATATTAAAGAACCCCAAGAATTCAAGAATAAAACCCCATTGAAATTGATCAAGAAATAAGCAATTTATACGAAGTATCTTCTTTTGCACAATACTGTGCAATTGAATATTTCTTGCTATTGTGCAATACTGTACAATTGACAATTTCTTGCTATTGCGCAATATTGTGCTATTGGATATTTCTTGCTATTGCGCAATACTGTGCAATTGAAGATTTCTTGCTATTGCGCAATACTGTGCAATTGAAGATTTCTTGCAATTGTGCAATACTGTGCAATTGAAAATTTCTTGCTATTGCACAATATATATACTTATTATATAATAATTTACACATCCTGTTTGGTGTGTATCTCCTACCATATCATTATTATTTGCTTTTAAATATTAATCAGAAATAACCAACTTAAAATGGAAAATTTTAAAAGAAAAAAAAAAGGAAAAAAAGAAAAAAAAAAATCCCCCCCCCAAATTTTTTGAACCCCCTTATGATTCATCACCCCCAAACTCAATCCCAGCCTTCCCTTTGTGGTATGGTACCTTGCAGTACAATTTCAGAGAGATCCATACACTTGAACACAAGTTATTGTCTGGAAACTAGAAAAATGCTTATTTTTGGCCCCTTTTTGGCCCCCAATTCCTAAACGTTTCGGGCAATTACCCCCAAACTCAATTCCAGCTTTCCCTTTGTGATATGGAACCTTGTAGTACAATTTCAGAAATATCCAAACACTTACACACAAGTTATTGTCATGAAACTAGAAAAATGCTTGTTTTTTGCCCCTTTTTTGGCCCCTAATTCCTAAAATTTTGAGGCAATTACCCCCAAAATCAATTACAGCCTTCCCTTTGTGATATGGAACCTTGTGTTACAATGTCAGAGAGATCCATACACTTACACACAAGTTATTGTCTGGAAGTTACAAAAATGCTTATTTTTGGCCCCTTTTTGGCCCCTAATTCCTTAACTGTTGGTACCATAACCCCCAAAAACAATCCCCACCTTCCTTTCGTGGTATTGAACCTTATGGTAAAATTTCATGGAGATCCATTCACTTAAACTAAAGTTAGAGTGCGAAAACCAATGTGTCTTCGGACGACGCCGGACGACGCCAGACGACGACGACGACGACGACGACGACGACGCCAACGTCATACCAATATACGACCAAAAAATTTTCAATTTTTGCGGTCGTATAAAAACTAAAAAATTGGTAAAAATTGTCAGTTACTCATATAAAGACCTGACCAACAATTTCGTCAATATCAACTTACCCCAGTATTTGTAGATCCTGCCTTGTGAATTATTTTTACTTTCTTAAATTCTCTCAATCTATTATAATTTCAAAATAACAGACAACTAGCAAAACTAAAAGATCTTCATTTCAGGGTGAATAAAATGCTCTGCTGGGTGCAGCTTGATACGATCGCAGAGGTCGAACCCTGAACAGTTGGGGCAAGTATGGACACAACATTCAAGCTTGATACAGCTCTGAATTTGGATTGTGATTAAATATTTGACACAGCATAGGTTTCTGACACAGAATGAATGTGGTCTAAGAACTTAAATTTTTTAATTTACCTATTATGGTCCAATATCCAAAATCTAAATACATGGTTAGATTCAGCATATCAAAGAATCCAAAGAATTCAATTTTTGATGAAATCAAACAAAGTTTAATTTTGGACCCTTTTGACCTCAATGTGGACCAATTTGATAACGGGGCCCAAAAATCAAAATACATGGTTGGATTCAGCATATCAAAGAACCCCATATATTCAATTTTTGTTGAAATCAAACAAAGTTTAATTTTGGACCCCAACTTGGACCAATTTGAAAACTGGACCCATAATCAAAAATCTTAACACATGTTTTGATTCAGCATATCAAAGAACCCCAAGAATTCAATTTTTGTTAAAATCAAACTAAGTTTAATTTTGGACCCTTTGGACCTTACTGTAGACCAATTTAAATAAAATGCTCCGCAGGGCGCAGCTTGATAAGACCGCAGAGGTCGAACCCTGAACAGTTGGGGCAAGTATGGACACAACATTCAAGCTTGATACAGCTTTGCATTTGGATTGTGATTAAATATTTGACACAGCATAGGTTTCTGACACAGAATGAATGTGGTCTAAGAACTTAAAAATTTTAAATTGGACATTCACCTTTTATGGTCCAATATCCAAAATCTAAATACATGGTTAGATTCAGCATATCAAAGAACACCAAGAATTCAATTTTTGATGAAATCAAACAAAGTTTAATTTTGGACCCTTTTGACCTCAATGTGGACAAAGTTGATAACGGGGCCCAAAAATCAAAAATCTAAATACATGGTTAGATTCAGCATATCAAAGATCCCATATATTCAATTTTTGTTGAAATCAAACAAAGTTTAATTTTGGACCCCGATTTGGACTAACTTGAAAACTGGGCCCATAATCAAAAATCTAAATACATATTTAGATTCAGCATATCAAAGAACCCTAAGAATTCAATTTTTGTTAAAATCAAACTAAGTCTAATTTTGGACCCTTTGGACCTTAATGTAGACCAATTTGAAAACTGAACCAAAAATTAAGAATCTAAATACACGGTTAGATTTGGCATATCAAAGAACCCCAATAATTCAATTTTTGATGAAATCAAACAAAGTTTAATTTTGGACCCTTTGGACCTCAATGTGGACCAATTTAAAAACGGGGCCCAAAATTCAAAAACTAAATACATGGTTAGATTCAGCATATTAAAGAACCCCAAGAATTCAAGAATAAAACCCCATTGAAATTGGTCAAGAAATAAGCAATTTATACAAAGTATCTTCTTTTGCACAATACTGTGCAATTAAATATTTCTTGCTATTGCGCAATACTGTACAATTGACAATTTCTTGCTATTGCGCAATATTGTGCTGTTGGATATTTCTTGCTATTGCACAATACTGTGCAATTGAAGATTTCTTGCTATTGCGCAATACTGTGCAATTGAAGTTTCTTGCTATTGTGCAATACTGTGCAATTGAAAATTTCTTGCTATTGCACAATACTTATTATATAATAATTTACACATCCTGTTTGGTGTGTATCTCCTACCATATCATTATTATTTGCTTTTAAATATAAATCAGAAATAACCAACTTAAAAAGGAAAATTTTAAAAGAAAAAAAACAGGAAAAAAAGAAAAAAAAGGAAAAAAAAAAAAAAATCCCCCCCCCCAAATTTTTTGAACCCCCTTATGATTCATCACCCCCAAACTCAATCTCAGCCTTCCCTTTGTGGTATGGTACCTTGCAGTACAATTTCAGAGAGATCCATACACTTGAACACAAGTTATTGTCTGGAAACTAGAACTAGAGGCTCTCAAGAGCCTGTGTCGCTCACCTGTATTTACTGATGATTTGGAAATCATGTAAAATTAGGTTAAAATCATAATTAATAGTATTAGATATAAGTTATTATAATGATATCTCAGATAATAACAAATAAACTGCTTCGCTGAGCGCAGCTGGATACGCCCGCAGAGGTCGAACCCTGAACAGTTGGGGCAAAAATGGACACAATATTCAAGCTTGATACAGGTCTGAATTTGGATTGTAATTAAATATTAGACATATTATAGGTTTCTGAATAAATGTAGTCAAAGAACTTGAAATTGGTTATATGAATTGAATTTATATTCAATTAAGAGATTTCTTGCTGTTGTGCAATACACTATGCTGTTGCGCAATACTTAGTAAATCTGTTGTCAGACTATAAACAAATAAAATTTATAAAATTCTAAAGGGAGCTTACATCAATAGATATAATCAATTCACCAAAGTTTCATAAGAATTGCTGAAAGCATTTTTGAGTTATTGTCTGAAAACTGGAAAATCCCTCCTTTTTTAATGAATAAAACCCCATAACTCGGAACTGTAAAATCTAAAATTTATAAAATTCTAAATGGAGCTTACATCAATAGATATCAACAATTCATCAAAGTTTCATGAGAACTGCTGAAAGCATTTTTGAGTTATTGTCTGAAAACTGGAAAATCCCCCCTTTTTTTATGAATAAAACCCTGTAACTTGGAAACGTAAAATCTAAAATTTATAAAAATCAAAAGGGAGCTCATGTCAACAGATATAAACAATTAACCAAAATTTCTTGCAAGTTGATGAAAGCATTCTTGAGTTATTGTCCGAAAGCTGGAAAATCCCCCTTTTTTTAATGAATAAAACCCCATAACTCGAAAACGTAAAATCTAAAATTTATAAAAAACGAAAGGGAGCTCACGTCAATAGATATAAACAATTCACCAAAGTTTTATGCAAATTGATTAAAGCGTTTTTGAGTTAATGTCCGACATGTTGACGACGGACGGACAGACGGACGGACGGACAGACGGACAGAGGTATACCATAATACGTCCCGTAAACGGGCGTATAGAAACTGCAAAAGTTTTGTAAAATGACTAACTCAGGGGCAGCAACCCAACAATGGGTTGTCGGATTCGTCTGAAAATTTCAGGGCAGATAAATTTAAATCTGATGAACATTTTTGCCACCTGTCAGATTTGCTCTAAATGCTTTAGTTTCAGAGATATAAACCAAAAACTGCATTTTACCCCTATGTTCTATTTTTAACCAAGTCAGCCATGATGGTTGGAAGGCGGGGTCATCGGACAAATCTTTTAAACTAGATACCCTAATAATGATTATGGCCAAGTATGGTTAAATTTGTCTCAGTAGTTTCAGAGAAGAAGATTTTTGTAAAAGATTACAAAAATTTACAAAAAATTGTTAAAAATTGACTATTAAGGGCAATAACTCCTAAAGGGGTCGACTGACAATTTTGGTCATGACAACTTATTTGTAGATCTTACTTTGCTGAACATTATTGCTGTTTACACTTTATCTCTATCTATAATAATATTCAAGATAATAACCAAAAACTGCAAAATTTCCTTAAAATGACCAATTCAGGGGCAGCAACCCAAAAACAGGTTGTCAGATTTGTCTGAAAATTTCAGGGCAGATAGATCTTGACCTGATAATCAGTTTTACCCTATGTCAGATTTACTCTAAATGCTTTGGTTTCAGAGATATAAGCCAAAATCTACATTTTACCCCTATGTTCTATTTTTAGCCATGGCGGCCATCTTGGTTGGTTGGCGGGGTCATTGTACACATTTTTTAAACTAGATACTTGAATGATGATTGTGTTTAAGTTTGGGTGCATTTGGCCCAGTTGTTTCAGAGGAGAAGATTTTTGTAAAAGTTTACGGACGACGGATGATGGACGACGGACGACGGACGCAAAGTGATGAGAAAAGCTCACTTGACCTTTCAGGTCGGGTGAGCTAAAAATGTGTTTTTTGGCCCCTTTTTGGCCCCAAATTCCTAAACGTTTAGGGCAATTACCCCCAAACTCAAACCTAGCTTTCCCTTTGTGATATGGAACCTTGTAGTACAATTTCAGAAAGATTCATACACTGTCCTGAAACTAGAAAAATGCTTGTTTTTTGCCCCTTTTTTGGCCCCTAATTCCTAAAATATTGAGGCAATTATCCCCATCATCAATCCCAGCCTTCCCTTTGTGGTATGGTACCATGCAGTACAATTTCAGAGAGATCCATACACTTGAACACAAGTTATTGTCTGGAAACTAGAAAAATGCTTATTTTTGGCCCCTTTTTGGCCCCAATTCCTTAACGTTTCGGCAATTACCCCCAAACTCAATTCCAGCTTTCCCTTTGTGATATGGAACCTTGTAGTACAATTTCAGAAAGATCCATACACTTACACACAAGTGATTGTCATGAAACTAGAAAAATGCTTGTTTTTTGCCCCTTTTTTGGCCCCTAATTCCTAAAATTTTGAGGCAATTACCCCCAAAATCAATCCCAGCATTCCTTTTGTGATATGGAACCTTGTGGTACAATGTCAGAGAGATCCATACACTAACACACAAGTTATGTCTGGAAGTTACAACTAGAGGCTCTAAAGAGCCTGTGTCGCTCACCTTGGTCTATGTGCATATTAAACAAAGGACACAGATGGATTCATGACAAAATTGTGTTTTGGTGATGGTGATGTGTTTGTAGATCTTACTTTACTGAACATTCTTGCTGCTTACAATTATCTCCATCTATAATGAACTTGGCCCAGTAGTTACAGTGGAAAATATTTTGTAAAAATTTACAAAAATTTACAAAATTTATGAAAATTGTAAAAAATTTACTATAAAGGGCAATAACTCCTTAAGAACTCAATTGACAATTTTGGTCATGTTGACTTATTTGTAGATCTTACTTTGCTGTACATTATTGCTGTTTACAGTTTATCTCTATCTATAATAATATTCAAGATAATAACCAAAAGCTGCAAAATTTTCTTAATTTACCAAATCAGGGGCAGCAACCCAACAACATGTTGCCTGATTGGTCTGAAAATTTCAGGGCAATTAGATCTTGACATAATGAACAATTTTATCCTCGTCAGATTTGCTCTAAATGCTTTGGTTTCAGAGATATGAGCCAAAAACTGCATTTTACCCTATGTACTATTTTTTAGCCATGTCGGCCATCTTGGTTCGCGGACCGGGTCATCGGACACATTTATTAAACTAAATACTCCAATGATGATTGTGGACAAGTTTGGTTAAATTTGCTTTAGTAGTTTCAGAGGAGAAGATTTTTGTAAAAGATAACAAAAATTTACGAAAAATGGTTAAAAATTGACTATAAAGGGCAATAACTCCTTAAGGGGTCAACTGACCATTTTGGTAAAGTTGACTTATTTGTAGATCTTACTTTGCTGAACATTATTGCTGTTTACAGTTTATCTCTATCTATTATCATATTCAAGATAATAACCAAAAACGGCAAAATTTCCTTAAAATTAAAAATTCAGGGGCAGCAACCCAACAACGGGTTGTCCGATTCATCTGAAAATTTCAGGGCAGATAGATCTTGACCTGATAAACAATTTTACCCCATGTCAGATTTGCTCTAAATGCTTTGGTTTCAGAGATATAAGCCAAAATCTACATTTTACCCCTATGTTCTATTTTTAGCCATGACGGCCATCTTGGTTGGTTGGCCTGGTCACCGGACACATTTTTTAAACTAGATACCCCAATGATGATTGTGGCCAAGTTTGGTTTAATTTGGCCAAGTAGTTTCAGAGAAGAAGATTTTTGTAAAAGTTAACGACGACGGACGACGGACGCCAAGTGATGAGAAAAGCTCACTTGGCCCTTTGGGCCAGGTGAGCTAAAAATGCTTATTTTTGGCCCCTTTTTGGCCCCTAATTCCTTCACTGTTGGTACCATAACCCCCAAAATCAATCCCAACCTTCCTTTTGTGGTATTGAACCTTGTGGTAAAATTTCATAGAGATCCATTCACTTAAACTAAAGTTAGAGTGCGAAAACCAATGTGTCTTCGGACGACGACGACGCCAATGTCATACGACCACAAAAATTTTTTTTGCTGTCGTATAAAAACGGGACCCAAAACTACAATTCGAAATACACAGTTAGATTTGGCATATCAAAGAACCCCAAGAATTCAATTTGATGAAATAAAACAAGGTTTAATTTTGGACCCTTTTGACCTCAATATGAACCAATTTGATAGCTGGACCCACAAATAAAAAATCTAAATACATGGTTAGATTCAGCATATCAAAGAACCCCATATATTCAATTTTTGTTGAAATCAAACAAAGTTTAAATTGGACCCCAATTTGGACCAACTTGAAAACTGGGCCCAAAATCAAAAATCTAAATACATGTTTAGATTCAGCATATCAAAGAACCCCATATATTCAATTTTTGTTAAAATCAATCCAAGTTTAATTTAGGACCCTTTGGACCTCAATGTGGACCAATTTGATAACAGGGTCCAAAAATCAAAATACATGGTTAGATTCAGCATATCAAAGAACCCAATATATTCAATTTTTGTTGAAATCAAACAAAGTTTAATTTTGGACCCCAACTTGGACCAACTTGAAAACTGGACCCATAATCAAAAATCTAAACACATGTTTTGATTCAGCATATCAAAGAACCCCAAGAATTTAATTTTTGTTAAAATCAAACTAAGTTTAATTTTGGACCCTTTGGACCTTAATGTAGACCAATTTAAGAAACGGGACCCAAAATTAAAAATCTAAATACACGGTTAGATTTGGCATATCAAAGAACCCCAATAATTCAATTTTTGATGAAATAAAACAAAGTTTAATTTTGGACCCTTTTGACCTCAATATGAACCAATTTGATAGCGGGGCACACAAATAAAAAATCTAAATACATGGTTAGATTCAGCATATCAAAGAACCCCATATATTCAATTTTTGTTGAAATCAAACAAAGTTTAATTTTGGACCCCAATTTGGACCAACTTGAAAACTGGGCCCAAAATCAAAAATCTAAATACATTTTTAGATTCAGCATATCAAAGAACCCCATATATTCAATTTTTGTTAAAATCAATCTAAGTTTAATTTTGGACCCTTTGGACCTTAATGTAGACCAATTTGAAAACTGGACCCAAAATTAAAAATCTAAATACACGGTTAGATTTGGCATATCAAAGAACCCCAATAATTCAATTTTTGATGAAATCAAACAAAGTTTAATTTTGGACCCTTTTGACCTCAATATGAACCAATTTGATAGCGGGGCCCACAAATAAAAAATCTAAATACATGGTTAGATTCAGCATATCAAAGAACCCCATATATTCAATTTTTGTTGAAATCAAACAAAGTTTAATTTTGGACCCCAATTTGGACCAACTTGAAAACTGGGCCCGAAATCAAAAATCTAAATGCATGTTTAGATTCAGCATATCAAAGAACCCCATATATTCAATTTTTGTTAAAATCAAACTAAGTTTAATTTTGGACCCTTTGGACCTTAATGTAGACCAATTTGAAAACTGGACCCAAAATTAAAAATATAAATACACGGTCAGATTTGGCATAACAAACAAATAAATGTGGTCAAAGATTTTACAAATCTAATGCGCCATACTGTGCAATTAAAGATTACTTCTTGAAATTTTTCAATATTTGAAATTTGAAAAAAAAATAATATTTGAAGAATAATTCTTTTTAATTTCTGAAATCTGAAATGAGAAAAATTTGACCCCCCACAATTTCTTTTTACCCCCCCTCAATTCTTTCCCTCAAGATATGGTCATAATCTCAATTCAAATTTCCAATGGAATTTGCAACCATAATTACCCATTTAAATTTACCATAGTGCTAACTTAATTTATTTTATAATAGAATTTATAATATGGTGTCAAATCTTTCATATGGATTTTTTTGTAAAAAAAAAAAAAAAGATGGAACATTTGCAGATATTTTTATTGGTCTTCCTTTATAAATATGCATTTCTTTAAACATAATTTAAAAGCAGTGTAAGGGAAGTAATCAAAGCGTTGTATGTGGATTACCTCCCTTACACTGTTTTAAATTATCTTAATTGTTCATTAACCATTACTTTATACATAGTTTAAAAGCAGTGTAAGGGACGTAATTCAAATGATGTATTTGATTTATCTCCCTTACACTGCTTTAAATTATGTTTTGTACTCAAGTATTTGTCCATATAAAAATGCTTGTTTTTTGCCCCTTTTATGGCCCCTAATTCCTAAAATTTTGAGGCAATTACCCCCAAAATCAATCCCAGCATTCCCTTTGTGATATGGTACCTTGTGGTACAATGTCAGAGAGATCCATACACTAAAACACAAGTTATGTCTGGAAGTTACAAAAATGCTTATTTTTGGCCCCTTTTTGGCCCCTAATTCCTTAACTGTTGGTACCATAACCCCCAAAATCAATCATACCAATATATGATCGCAAAAATCTTTTTGCGGTCGTATAAAAACTCCTACAAAGAGCCAACTGAAGATTTTTACAATATATTGACTTATTTATAGATCTTGTCTTACTGACCATTTTTTCTTGAAAGTTTCGATTTATCTTTTATATTTTTGAAGATAATAGACAAAAGCACAAAAAAGTGGTAAAAATTTACATTAAAGGACAATTATTGCAACAATAAGCTGACTGACGATTTCAGCCATGCCAACTTATTTGTAGATCTTGTTTTGCTGATCGTTTTCGTTATTAAATCAATGTCTATCTATTATAATTTTGAAGATCAAATGCAAAAATGAAACAAATTGGTATAACTCATCATTTAAGGACAATAACTGAAAAAAAAGTTGTCTGACATTTTTGATTTAAATAGACAGACAGTAGATCTCATCTTTCAGAACATCTGTGACATCCTTCAGATTTTCTCCATCTAAAGTTGTTTTAAAAATTAGTTCTTTTTTTAGCCATGTCAGCCATGTTTGTTGGCATGCGGGTTCATCGGACATAAAATTTAAAGAAGATACTCCAATGATGATTGTGGCCAAATTTGATTAAATTTAGCAATTTAGTTTCAGATGAGATGATATTAGTAAAAATTAACAGACAAAAAGGGATGACAACAGATGCCAAGTGATGACAAAAAGTTAGAAAGGATATGTAAGAGAAGTTATCTCAAGGATAACTCAAATAGTTCATTCAATTTTACTAACCAAGGGGATCCATAAATGTTAATACCATACAATGTAACCAGAGAATCCTCTAAGTATACACAGTTAGTCAGCAGTTCCTTAACCTTGTTCACTCCATTTTCCTGTAGAAACGCTTTAACTTTTTCTATTTTTACATGCCATCTGTTAAGTTTCTCCTCCATTGCTTCATCAAAAGTTAAATCGTGGTTGCCTGCGATTACAACTTTATGTTTATGTGGTAGTGTAGCTGAAATGAAAAATAAATTATTATTCGTCTAAACTGTCTCAAACAAATCCTCTTGATCTTCAATGTTTCCTGAGTTGCACCTATTTTTCATCTGTCCAAGGGCAATAACTATAAAAAAACTTTTTTTTGGGTTCTTTAAAACCTTTTATAAATATCTTATAGAAGTGAAGACTGGAAATCAAATGCCATGCAATTTTTGATATAATTAATATTTCCAAGGGGCATAACTCTTTTAAAAATATTTGATCAGCACTTATTTTCGAAAATGTCAGACACTGCTGATTTAAACCTTTAATATAAATTTGATAAAGATCCAGCAAAATTTGTACACATGAGAGCGCTTACAATGCAATTTTCCATATAATTATTGTTTCCAAGGGGCATTACTCTTTTAAAAATAGTTGATCAGCACTGATTTTGAAATTTAAGTAAGAAAATTACTAAAGGTATACATAGACAAAAAATTCAATTGAAAATTTGATGATGATGATAGATGGCTGCGGCAAATTAATATCCATATATATTCAGGACAAGAACATGTTAATGTAATATGAATATTTACCATGCTTTGTACTAGAAAGACATCCTGAGCCGGATTTTTAACGTGCTAGTTCACAAGGTAACAGTTCCCAGGAAGACATGTCACCCTACCTGGACACATTAATCCGACTCAGAGCCGACCAGTCATTGCTCATACTCCTTAATGCTGCATGCTTAGCGAAGAAGCGCCAAATATCAATTTTAAAGTCTTTGGTTTGACCCGGCGATGTTTCAAACCCACAACCTCCTGCACTAGAGGTGAAAACGCTACCACTAGACCTCCGAGGCAGTCTATTGAAAAGAAGGAAAAATTCTACCGTAACTAAAGTACTATTATTAGCAATAGGGAATATTATGATCTATTATCAAAAGGCATGAATCCCAAAAATTGACCCAAATAACAAATTTATGATATAGAAAATAGACTTCAAATTTAAAAACAGGGCAGCTTTCTAACACTTATCATGAAAAAGCTGACTTGTTTTCTGTTTTCAGCTGATAGACCAGGAGTCTGACATTAGCTGAAAGTCAGAAGGACCTTTTCCTAAATTCTAGGGTATAGCCAGTTCAATCGTTGGGAATTCAGGAACTTGAGATTTAATAGTATCCTGATGCAGGAATGGACACATTATATTCACCAGAATTCTGGATTTGGCACATATTTTCTTGAGAATTTCTGGCTGAGACACCTTCCTATCCCCTTCCTTAGCTGACATTGTTTTTTTTCTTGCAACATAACTGATGATAATTTATATGGGATATATGTCACCATCCCAAAAAAGTCACACTGCAGACAAAATGGTTTCCCGTTCTAGATTTATCTAATTATCAAACTCATTTGTGGTTTTGATGAATTAAAGCTTTCATTCAAATTTGAAGAGAACAAAAACTGAAGGCACTAACATGCATATGGCAACAAAAAAGTGATGACAGACATTAAGAGGGGCAAAACTTTATATACCCTAAAAACTTTGTTGTGTGGGGTATAACAATATTAGAACAGGGTCCACAATGCAAAGTGACATACACAGATTTATATTAAATCAAAAGGGAAAACAAACTAATCTGTTAGTTGTAATTGGCCTTGAACTAGCTTTCAGTAACTGTAAGTACTCTTATATCAGCGCTTTGTGTTTATTGTTTTTATGTTAGTTGTTTTTTGTGTGCATTATGCTGATTTATTGAGTTAAGCCATTTGCAACTAATATCTAATAGGTTGTTCTTATGTTGTGCTTTAACACCACTGTCCCAGGTTATAGAGAGGGTTGAGCTCTCAAAAAAAATGTTAAACCCCACAAAATCCTTATGTGCCTGTCCCCTTTTTATATAAACACACTATTGGCTTTGTTCTTGTTCTTGTCATTATACATGTAAATTGAGTAGTTTTCTAAATGCTCTATCATAATAATCTATTTTCATACTATACCTAAATAATCATTAAACTTCTTTATTTCTTTTGGTTGACCAACATTGGTGATGTCGCCAGCATGCAAGAGAACATCCCCATCAGGAACAAAATCTGTTGGACAATACTCAATTTTAGCATGTGTGTCTGATATGCATACAAAGCGGATCTTATCTTCTGTGACTGGTGTCTTTAAATTCATTTGTTTGACTTTCTTTTGATTTTGTTTGACTTTCATCTTTTCCCACACTTTGGTTGCATTCTTCGACATGGAATCCACCTGGATGATTACAGGTCCATCTAAACATAGACACATTAGAGAAGTGTTATATAACAAAAACTACAAGCTATGCCAGTAAGATAAATGGTATGCCTCACCTTCAAAAACTAAAAGTAACAAGCTTCTGGAGTTAACATATTGAAAATATTAAAGGCGACCAATATAAAAAATTAAACGATATTAATATTTTTTTAACTGTGTAGTACTAAAGAACTATCTTTGAGAATTGTAGTTATTAAAGTCACAGAAATATCATCAATGGTTTATTATAAAATGACCAATTTACAAAACTTAACCAAAGTCACCCGCAGTATGAGAAAAAGGTTATAATTATGACCAAAAATGTTACAGAAAAATAATGTTCTGTAGACATCATGGACATGGTAGACATAGGGGTATTTAATAAAACAAAAACAAAGCATATATATATACTTAACTAAATGTGGAGGTACAGACAAAAAAAAATGTTAATCTATATCAATTTATATGCCTAAACCACATTTAAAGTAGGACATTTATATAAAAAAAAACTTCTAGCTGCTTTTAGCAAAACAACTTGGTGGTCTAATAGTGATTTCACAACTGCTTTGCAAAAGGTCACCTATTCCAATCCTATCTTTTTCAAGTCATATAGCCTTAATCATTAAAAAATGTCACTCTCAAGAAAGTCATAAAGCAGAAAACAGGGAATGTTCATATGACATTAACCTGTGTTCATCCTGAATATGCATGTTATATTTGTCACTGAACATTAAGCACTCATCAATCAATCAGACATTGAAAATATGTGTAAGTTATAATAATATAACATTTGATATTAAATGAATATACTGTCCAAGCTTTGGTTGTTGTTGTTATTTGTTATTTACATATTTTCATGGTTTGCATTGTGTTGGTATTTTTTTTGTCTTTGTCAGTTTTTTTTATTTTTCATTTGTAGCTTTAATTTAGATATATCCCAGTAGTTTCCCAGCTGCTCAAGTAAATAAATATAGGCTTTCAGTCTGGTCTAGATGAAATTACAGAGGTCTCCTAACATAGGACTTGGTAAGTTGGCACAGTCCTTTCTCATTAGATTCATTTTGAAATCATTCAGTTCTTACATTTTTGTACATAAAAAACAGCATCTTAAATGTGAAGAACGACTGACCACTGATACTTGTCATGTTTAAATTGTTGATACAATGCCTATTTTTTTTTCTCAAAAGGTAACTTGACATCATCATATCAGGTCATATCTAAAGTAAAATTATGTACACCAAATACGTTCTGAATATTTATTTGTCAGGGGATCTTCTTAAACAAGTGATTTTATGATCATTAAACATGTTTAAGCAAATTAAAAATTTCACCTTGTTAAGTGATTTTGATGTTTTTTTTTTATTTTGAATACAGATTTCATGAATTTGCCCTTAATAATATTTTTTTTAATTTGCTTACACAGATCAATTATCCGTTTGTTTAATGCATTGTATATCAATTTCAGTGGGTTGCAAGGCCAGTAAAGTAGTGCTCGTAATCTTTAAAAGGATGTTAAGGAACCCCTTCGGAATTTACCTGTTATTGAATATTTAAATATTCATTAACTATAGTTAAGACAGAGGTAAACAATTTTCTTTACTATTAAAATGATCATGAGGACTGACTTTAGTTTTGTCTTGAATTACAAAATATACCTGCTTATGCTTTCTTCAAATAAAACTGTAAAATATTGAGTGAAAGAGCACTTCAATGTATACATAATTCATTATGTTCATTAAGTGTCTTTTCAATGGGATCCTTTTTTTTTTAACCCTATAACAACAAGCATGTGGGGAAAACATCAAGATAAAGTTGTTTTCATTTAGTTGAGCGATAAATTCTTATATCTAAAATTACTGATTTATTGGATTTTAAATATTCTGTGTCAAATTTTGTTAATATCTTTTTTTTCTCTGATGCCATAATAAATAAAAGAACAGAGTTCCAATGTCCCCTGCTTTGCACATATTTTATCTATCCAAGGGCAATAAATAACTAAAAAAAGTACTTTTTTTTTTCTTTAAAACAATTTATTTCTTAAAGAAATGAAAGCTTCAGAGCAAATGCAATGCGATTTCCGTTATAATTAATTTTTCCATGGGGCATAACTCGTTAAAAATATTTAATCAGCACTTATTTTCGAAAGTGTCAAAGACATGGCTGATATAAACCTATGATATAAATTTCATAAAAATCTGGCAAATTGTACACATGAGAGCACTTACAATGCAATTTTCCATATAATCAATATTTCCATGGGACATAACTCTTTTAAAAATAATTGATCGGCACTGATTTCCGAATTCATTACAACCATTGATGATATAAACCTATAATATAAATTTCATAAAAATCTGGCAAGAATTATACACATAAGAGCG